GAGAGAGAGAGAGAGAGAGAGAGAGAGAGAGAGAGAGAGAGAGAGAGAGAGAGAGAGAGAGAGAGAGAGAGAGAGAGAGAGATGGGAAACAAAACTCATCCCCCTCTCCTCGCTCCCTAAGGTGACATGAACACCCGAGGTCCACATTACGTTGCATGTGTTCACGCACAAGATGCGTGGAAGCCATATTTTTCGAACTCTTGAAATTTGATGGTGTAGGTACGATAAGAACATGCTCACTCTAGGACTTTTCTGACTGAGCTCTGGACGTAATTGTAGTCAGATACACCCAGCTCAAGGCGGAATTCCAGCCAGGTACATCCAGGAAAGCCCTAGTACTGCGTATGCGCTAAGGCTTTCGTTATTCCAGAGATGCTGGTGAAGGTTACTAGCGTGGCTAGCATTTTTTTTTATTTTTTTTTTGTCACTTTGCCATGCTAATCTTCTTTGTCGGTATCGTTCCAATTTTAACTGAGGTCCCGAAGGACCGTAGCTAGCAATTTTGCGCAGCATTAGCGATTGTCATTTCCTAATTGTCAGCAACAACACCTGCTGAGTACACCCCCCCCCACCCCCTCCCCTCTCCCCTCCCTGCCACCCACCCTCTCTTTCCCTCCTTGGAACCCATGGATGAACCTGGGCATCAAGACGTACCGGTACATTGATCTGGGGGAAGACCCCAGCTATCAGAAAATTCCTCAGAACGTTTCGTTCCTTCTGGCTAAAGTGTTCCTTCCTCCAGAGAGGGGGGGGGGGGAGAACTTCGTAGCTCGGATAGGTTCACAGCTGCTACGCTATAGAAAGGGAAAGCTGTGGACACAGTCTGGAGGTGGAAGCAGCAGGAAAAGAGACCTTTCATGTCAATTTCTTTTTGTTTTTTTCGTGCCGGGCCATGAATGGCGTCGGCGGACTGCGAGAACTTCTAGTTATTGATTGTCAATATCTTGCTGGTGGATGTGCACAGCTGAATTGAAGCAGGAGGAGCACAAGAAGAGGTCCAAGTACGGGATTTATGCATCACTTGTTGGTGGAAACAAGCTGGGCGAAAGCAAAAACACAAAGAAGGGCGAGGCTGCAAAGGACACATCGTACACAAAGTCTGCAAAGGTGAGCTTCAGTTTTATCGTTTTCCGTTTTTTGCTCTTATCATTGTGCTGGCGTTAAATCTATCGGAGTCCTTGCAGCTGCCGATGATGCGTCTGCACAGCGGAATCCTGCTCGCTTGGGAAGGGTGGGCAGGGAGAGAGGGGGAAGAGGTGGACATAGTGGCGGGGGATATGGGGGGACATGGGATGGGATGGGATGGGATGGGGGTGGGATGCACAACGAGTGCAACGAGTACAGTGTACTGGTATAACATACATAAAGCAGCAATCGGGTGGATTTATTTCTCATCAGCTACCCCACATAATGGGGAGAAACTCCCCCTACAGGTCGGTTGGGAGGGAGAGGGAAGAGGATGGGGGGAGGGGGGTGCTTCAACTGTGAGCTCTGTTTCTTTATGGCTAAACATCTCTTGTGTACCTTGATCGTATCGTGCAGGTTTTCGCGCACCTAGAAGATTCAAAGTCGCGTGGAGCCGCCGGGCGTCATGAAGATGACGGCAAAGGTCGCTTAGCGGCCCGAGCAGGCAAGACTGATGGCTCCAAGGTTGCAGTAGGGGGATCATCACTCAAGCTGTGAGTTTGAATCTGGAAACGCTCCATGTGCTCAAAGGGAAATCTGGCAAAAGGGTGAGAAACGGACCGTGGACCTACTAATGGTGATTGTGCCTGGTGTCCATATTGCTGAAGGTCGAGACTCGAGAGTGGATGGGGTTACCATGGAATAGGAGACGTCAAGACAGGTTGGAGGTAGAGAGGTGAGGATTGGGATAGGAGAAAGACGGGACAACACGGAGCACAATTGAGAGAAAGTAAAAGGGAATGGAGGCGTGAGGTGGAGAAACGCGGCCAACGTGGAGTGCAACTAAGCGAGAGTGAAATGAAGGGAGGCGTGAGGTGGTGCCGTAGAGCTGAAGGAGACAAGTTAGAGAATTCAAGTGAGAAGAAAGACTCAAGAGGGAGGAGAGGCAGAAAGTGACTCTGCAAAGAGCAAAAGCGGGGTGTGTGTTGCTCGAGAAGAAAACAGTGGTGAGAAAAGCCGGTTGGGTCGTTACAGCGGGAGAGGACACAAACAACAGCAACTGAGAGGACCTGTGTGAGGTAGGTGTGTGTGTGTGTGTGTGTAAGAGAGAGAGAGAGAGAGAGAGAGAGAGAGAGAGAGAGAGAGAGAGAGAGAGAGAGAGAGAGAGAGAGAGAGAGAGAGAGAGAGAGAGAGAGAGAGGGAGGGAGGGAGGGAGGTTGGGTGGATTTACTGGAGTGCGAAGGTGTGTTGTAATGTCTGTTCTGGGTTTGCTGCTTGGCACACAGAGGGGCTGCAATTGCTCCATGTAGAGAAGTGCCTTCCGTAAGAGTTGATGCATCTTGGTACACTGTGCCAGCACTAGGGACAGAAGGGAAGAACAGATTGATGGGCGCACATATGTTGCGAAGCTCAACAATGGTATTCGATCGGAAGGTGAATCCCAAATTTTTGACAACGGTAATCGATCGAACGTATAAGTGCATCTGCAAATTGTCCAGTTGTGTCCGGCACCACAGGTGTAGAGAAGAGAGCAGGGAGTGTATATTGAGATGTATCGCCTTTACGAGACGAGAGGATAATCGCAGGCGATTTGATTATTGGACATGAGCATGAGGACATTGAGGAGAGTGGTGATTTTGCTGGCACAGTGCTACGAGATGTGTTTTCGAGAAATTTTGACACTTTTGTAAATGTTCGAGTTCCTTTCTTATTTCCAGTTCTTGGGAGATTGATTGGTGGTGGCCCTCGATTAGCCATAGTCTCCATACAATTTTGTCACATTGGACCCTGTCCTTGTTGGCTACTCCCAGTGGCAGGCCCTCCGAGGGTTGGTTGGGCATATCAGGCCTGTCGAGCGCGTTGCTGTCGAGCATGTCGCGATGCCGACAGGGCATGAGAGGCCCTGTTAGTGTTGCGGCCAAGCATGCAGTGCATCGCTCGCGCACAAAAAAATCGACATTTCTGCGTGTGCATTGTACTCTGTTGTACTCTACCCGCAGCACCACTTCTGTAAGAAGAAGAAAACAAAAGTTTATTAAAATTTAAAAAATTGTGGACAAAGTATATGTGATCAAACAACTTTTGCTGCGGACTAAAAGTGGTATTGGCAACATATTTTTTTTAGATTAAAAAATGAAAAAGAAAGAAAAATAACAAAGTGCATTTTTCGGTCCGGCACTGTCGGGGCTGTCAGCGCAGGGCCTGTCTGCATGTGTGCGACGACTGACACGCCTGTTCACATTGGACATGTGGGCACCGTATTGAGTCCGGACTCCAGATCATGAGCATGAGCATGAGCATGGTTTGGGTTCTTTCTCTTCCGCAGGTCCGGCAAAGGGAGAAAAATCATGAGCATGAGCATGGTTCGTTTTTTTCTCAAAGCTTCTGAGGGAGTTGATTCCCAGAGTTGACATTTGTGAACTCGGGGGAGTTTTTTTTTCTTTTTTTCTTTTTTTTTTGTCGTTTTCCCGTCCAAGTTGAGTGACTTTTAATGGATATACCAACTCGGAAAGTCGTGCTGTCGGCTTTTTCGAGTCAGTATAAAATTCTATAAATAGTTTAAATGTCGTTTTACAACTTTAACTATTTATACGAGGTTCTTTTTTTTTTTTTTTCCTTTCTACCTTTCTTTCTCCCGCTTGCTTCAAAGCATATGTATGATAAGGGGTTAAGTTGGTATCTTCTTCTTCTGGATGGCGTTCTGCGACTGCTGCCTTTGCGCCTCCACGTTCTGCCGCGTTTGGTTCAGGGGTTGTCGGTCCCTCAGTCCATGGCTCGGGGCCATCACTCTCCTCGTGTGAGGATACTTCTGTGGAGCCATCTGTGTATATTAGAACTAACATCCGTACTCGCATAGGATGCCCGGTCATTATTGCTGTATCTAGACTGCAAATTGCCCCAAATACAGCCGTAAGGAAGGACCAATTGTCTTATTTGGGTGGAGACAGTAAGCTACACTGGGTGACTTTTGTAGACTCACATACACTGCGACGCACTTTAATATACTTGTTGACGCACAGAATTATCGCAACCGACGCCACATACTCACAGAAGTATCGTAACGGACACCCCATATAGCCTTGTCACCCTTGTGTAGGGTAATAAATTCCAATTGGGTGCATCTGTGCATCTGAAACAGTCCTCGTGTAGTGCTGACTTGGTGCCTCTTGCAGATTCGCAATTTCACACGCAAATGCTGTTCTGCGGAAGAGTTTCACTCACAAACTCCCTTCCATGGAAAACTTTCACACACAAATGCCGATTACTGAAAAAGTCCATTTGATTTGGCTTGGGCCCTTCCAAGCGTGAATAAAAAAAAGAGATGATCTTCATAAATTAGCTGAATCAAATTGGGCCCTTCCAAGCATGAAAAAAAAGAGATTATTCAGCTTGGGCCCTTCCAAGCTGAATAAAAAAAAGAGATGATCGTTGGTGGTAAGAATGTACGTATAGAAATCACCACCGACCAAGCCCGAAGACGCGCAGCCTTTATGTCATTTAGTTAGCTGCGCGTATTTATTTTATTACTACGAAGTTTCGTCTCCGCTCGAAACTTACAGGCACAGACTTAGTGCCATTTGATGAGTAACGAAAAATAAAGGAGAAGGATATATGAAAAGAAAAAGTGATAAAAAAGAGAGTAATAGCAAGTAATAAAGATTTTTCACGATATCCCGACCCCTTCTTTCAATCACACACAATCGTGATTTATCGTGTCCATTGCCCACCCCTCCTGTTTGACAGCCTCAGTCTGGGCGCAATGATTTGTAAATTATAATCATATAGTGTACTAAACACTGAAGCTTATCAGCTGCGGGCTCCAGTGCTGGTGCTCATGGCCCTCATGGCCTTTTTTTCATCGTCTGATCCTGCAATCGAGCGGTCGAGATTTCTCCTGAAGCCTTTTTCCATCGTCAGATCCTGGAATCTGGCGGTGGAAGTTTTCTCCTGAAATGCTACGTGGTTTGTTGACACCTGGTAGTGTGGATGGCCAACGGGCGGGTGGTGAGAAGAGCCATAAATGCAAGAAAGTGTGCACTGCATGGGGAATGTGGGCGGAGAGTATAATAAAGTGATCCAAGAGGTGCAAAAGGCAATACTTCGTATCAACCGTATTTTCGAGTTAGGAATAAGTAAATCGACGAGGGCCCCTAAAAGAGGCCACTTGATAAGATCACTCAGAGTTGTCAAATAATGGAGCACAAATTTCAAATTTGTAACATATGTGTTTGCTTTTTCTGGGCGGTTTCAACAAGTTTTTAGTTGGTTCTTCCGTCTCTTTCGAGATGAATAAAATTCAATAAATAGAAAACTCAATAAGTATGATAATATGTGTCGGAGAGTATCAGGTTGTCAGCGTGCAAAGAAAATTTGCCTAAATGGTACAACGTGTGTCAAAGAGGGTGCGCAAGGAGAAGTTTCCTGAAAGGGGAATGTGGGTGCCACTGGGTGGTTTCTCTTTTCGCCGCAGTCCGAGCTGATTTTGTTTCTGTGTCGCAGGTTTGAACCTGAGAAAAAAAAAGGAGGCAAATGAAAAGGCTGTGTCACGCGATTTCTCGAGGCACGAGAAAGACCCTTCTGTATCGCTGTGTGGGCTGTGCGAATTTTGTTTTTCAACTCGTCTCTTTTTCTCCCAGTTGGAGTGGGTTTCCTGTGGCCATTTCGGTGCAGCTCGGCAGAGCTTGAATCCGAACATGTGAGAACTGAACAAAGGTCATTGCCAGCCGGGTGGCTGCGTACCGTACCATGCGATACAGTGTTTTCAGTGCCTGCCTGAAAAATTCAAAAATAGCTATAGATATTAGATAATGAATTATACATCCAAAAAAGTCCTAAAACTTACGATCCCAAGCCGATCTTTTTAAAGACCCAGCCTCGGGCCTCTAGGGGGG